TATTGTCTAGTGTTTTCCTCCATCCCTCTCCCCTTTTCTTTTTTTTTTTTTTTTTTAACATTTTTGGCCTTTTGGAGACAGGGCCTCACAAAACTCAGGCTGGCCGCAAACTTTCTGGTAGCTGAGAGACCTTGCGTGTTGTGCCTCCGCCCCAACCCCTCCACCTTGTCTTTGACATGGTCTCTCACTGAACCTGGAGTTCCCCAATTTGACTAGACTAGCTGTTCAGCAATCTTTTCATGTCAGTGCAAGGGTTCTGAACTCGGGTTCTCACACTTGGGCAACATGCGCTTTATGGACTGAGCTCTATTTTGTGTGATTTTTTTTTTGTCTTTTTGAGACAGGGTCTCCCTGTAGCCCCAGCTGTTCTTGCACATGCTCAGTGCCAGTAAAACTTTTCCTTAATTTTTTTCTTTTGGTGTTTTTGCTTTCGCTTTTTAAAAAAAATGTTTTATTTATTATTTTATTTTATGTGTATGTGTGTATTGCCTGCATGTAGGTAAGGGCACCTGTGTTGCGCAATGCCTGCAGAAGACAGAAGAGACAGAGGATCCTCTGGAACTGGAGTTATGGACATCTGTTAGCTGCCATGTGGGTGCTGGGATTCAAACCGCAATGCCTGCAGAAGACAGAAGAGACAGGGGATCCTCTGGAACTGGAGTTATGGACATTTGTTAGCTGCCATGTGGGTGCTGGGATTCAAACCCGAGTCTTCTGCAAGAATAGCCAATGCTCTTAACTGCTGAGCCATCTCTCCAGTCCCCCTCCTTTTTTTTGGAGACAGGTCTCCCTATATAGCCCTGGTTGGCCTGGAACTCGCTATGTAGACCAGGCCAGCCTTGAACTCACAGAGATCTGCCTGCTTCTGTCTCTTGAATGCTGGGATTTAAGGTGTGCGCCACCATGTCTAGCTTTCCTTAATATTTTTGATCCACAGATGAAGAACTTGGGGGTACAGGGGGTTGACACCACATGATGTTTGGCCGTCTTTCCCATAGCAATTTCCCCTGGCAGGCATTTTTGGGGCAAAGGTAGATTTAAAAAAAAAGGAGAATATTTCTGGTCAAGCTGTCCAAGAAAGCCAGATAATTTCCAGAATAAACAGCCAAGGGGGACAGAAGCTCGCCACTGGGAGACACTTTCCCCAACCTACCTGGCAGCTGTCCAGCAGCTCCTGCAGCTTCTCCACACTCTCTTCGGTCTCCTGCTTGGAGTTGCTTAGTTGGGTTTCCTTCTGCAGGGTCCACTTTCTCTGCTGGAAACTGAGGTTGTCCTCAGTGACCTGGATAATCCTCTCTAACAGCTGGGAGATGACAAAGAGGATGGCAGTAAGGGCAATGCATGCTTCAAGATGGCCACTACAGAACGGACAGCAGTGAGGATGGAGGCCCTGAGATGCTGGCTCGGAGAAGAACACCAGCTCCGTCTGTCACCAGGACACACTGCCCAGGCACTGAAGGTCTGTACTGCCATTGAGTTCATTCTAGATCCTTCTGCATTTATAGCAGTGACTTGACACTGAGCTGAATGTTCTGGGTGGCTACATAAGCCAGGCTCCCTGGTAGCCACTCACCTGAGTTTTCTCTGTGTGTATGTGTTTGTATGTATGCAGGTACACATGTGTATGTGGGTACACGTGTGAGAGCATGCATGTGCATATACATGTTTGTGCGTACACATTGTGAATGTATGAATGTACATGTGTATGCATACATGAATGCATGCGTGTGTGCATGCATGTGTATGTGCATGTCTGAATATGTGTATATGTATTTGTGAATCTATGTATATGTGAATGTGTGTATATGTGTGCATGTTTGTGTGTCATGCATCTGTGTATGTAATGTGTGAATGCATGTATATATGCATGCCCGTAAATGTGCATGTGTGCATGAATGTGTGTATGTACAAATGTGTGTGAGTTTTGTGTATGGGTATGTATGCATGTATGTGTTTGTGTGTCATACATGTGTGTATGTATGTGTGTATGAATATATGCATGTGTGTGAATGTGCCTGTGTGCATGAATGTGTGTATGTATGTGTATGTACAAATGTGTGTGTGTGTGTGTGTGTGTGCGCGCTCACATGTGGAGTCCAGAGAATATGTTCCTCAGGTGCAGGCTACCTCTGTGTCTCTGAGGTTTCTTGCTGGCCTGGCGCCTGCTGTGTGGGCTGGGCTGGCTGGCCAGGGAGCTCCGAGCCCCGGCTTCTGCTTCTTTCTGCCTCCCCAGCACTGGGACCACAAGCATGTGCTACTACATCCAACTACATCCAACTTTTTTTTTTTTTTTTTGAGACAGGATCTCAATATGTAGACCAGGCTCATTTCCAACTCACAGAGACCCTCCTGCTTCTGCCTCCTGAGTGCTGGGATTAAAAGCGTGCGCCATCAGGCCAGGCCAAGCTTTGTTTCTAACATGGGTTTTGGGAATTGAACCCAGTCCTCATGCTGAGCCATCTTCCCAGACTCCACCTGTGTTTTCTTACCTGTGCTTGGTTACAAAGGGCTGGGAAGATAGCGAGGTGACCACCCCACAGAAGTTTGTGCACACAGCCAAGCCATGTTCCCCTTCAGAGGGACCAGCCAGAGTGGGTGGACCAATGCCAGGTCACCCTCTGCTCACAGGCTAACAAAGCTTCAGGGTATGTGTCTGGTGACCAGACGTGAGCCTGCCCGACTGAACTTGATTTTCACAAGTATGTTTCAAGGGACTTTAACTGGCTTTCACTTTAGAAGCCAGGAAATCCCTTAAAATCGTGAGCCTGCCCGGCTGAACTTGATTTCCACAAGTATGTTTCAAGGGACTTTAACTGGCTTTCACTTTAAAAGCCAGGAAATCCCTTAAAATCAAAACAAATCTCTATGGTGTAGCAACAGTGTGAAAATATGTGCCACCAACAAAAACAGAAACATATGCTCTCAGGGTCTGGCATCCAGATCCCTGGAGACGGAAGCGAGGCAGTCACGTGGACACAGAGCCACACTAACCTGCTGGTCGGTGACGGGCTTGTCACGGAAGGGCTTTGTACGTCCGAAGGTGGCCTTGATGACCTGGCTTCTGAAATGCTCCAGCTGTGGCACAAAGCAGGTGACAGATCAGTGGGGGTTAGTGGGACAGAGGAAATGCTGGGATGGCGTCTCCATCCTTGCATGCAGGGAAGGAGTCTCTTAGAGGGGTCTGCACTCCTGAATGGCCATTCAGCGTTAGGAAGCTCCGGAAATGAGGTACCTCGGAGAAAACAGAGCAGCAGCTTTAATCACTTCTAGGCGTGCCGGCCCAACCCAACCCGGGCATGTGGTCTACCCACACACGTCTCAGGCCCTCCGAAGAACCACTTGCTGCCAATTATCCAATGGGAAATCTGGCCCTGGGAGCATTTTCCATAATTGCTGGGCTGTGAAATAAATATTGAGGCTGTCAGTCCAAGTAAATTTGTAATCAGCAACAGTCCTTGGGGCGAGGAGAACACATGCACTTGTCCCTCGGTGCCTGGGATCCTAATCATCCCACAGACTGCCCACAGTAACGTTTCTGCTTCCCTGGGGCCAGCACAGCACAGGCACTGAGTGGCAGTCAGCGGGCATTTGCTGGGCATTCTGATACAGAAACACCTGTCTGGGTCAGACCCATGGCTGGTGCCTCCTGTGGGCTGAAGTTTTCAGATTCGGGTGGAGGGGACCTCTCTGTGTGTAAAGTCAGAGCTTAGGGAATCACAAGGCTAAGGAGCCTGGCTTTCTCTGGGAGTTCACTCACATGACAGCCTGTAGCTTGCATCAGCGGTTCACTGGGCAGATGTGGGCATTAAAGACTATCGTACAACCCTGAGGGGACCTGGTGGGCCACCAGATGAACTTAAAAGCCAAGGTATTCTAAGATGTAGGAGTTTATAACACTTAAGAGTTCTGGGAAACCAGGGATGATGATGGTCTCTAAGACCTTCAAGCCTTGTGCTCCAAATGATCTTCTGGTTTCTAGGCTGAGGAGGGGGTTCTAGCTTTCCAGGGTGTTGGTTATGTAGAGGAGGCCTTGCATGTAAGGGTCCCCTGGGGCCACTGGAGGTTGCCTCTTGGAATGATTGCCTAGAATGGGTGAGGCATGAAGGACAGGTGCTCTAGCCTGTGGGTTGGGGCCTGGAGACACTGGGCTGGGGCTGAGGAGACTATCAGACAGGGGCAGGGTCTTGAGGTAAGTGGACAGTGAGATGGCTAGGTGGTAGGCAGAATGCTGGCTCCCTCTGTCTGGGGTCCACACCTGGAACCGTTACAGGATCCTCTAGGTGACCCTCTGCTCAGAGTTGTAACAAGGGCCTTGGTTCTTGGGCAAGGGGCACAGGCCATACCCCCAGATCAGGTATATATTTTGGGGTACAGAGGCAGAGGAGGTGAGGGGGCAGTCCAGGGACACAGACTGGCAAGGCTCTGTGGTGGAACAAGGAGCTGGGGAACCTTCTAGAAAGATGGTAGGTGTGATGGTGATGGGTTACCTGGTGAAGGGGCTTTAACATCTGTCCAATGGTTAGCACCATTATTAAACTAGTATGTGCCTCTGCATGTTGGGCTGTGGGGACAAAGCCTGGTCATGCTGCCTGGTGACAGTTCGGTTGTAGCAAATGGAAAGGGATTGGACTAGGCAGTATAGGCTCCTTTAAGACTTTGGGGTATTTCACAGCTCTTCTGAGACTTTGATAAGTGGTATGGGGGGCCTCCCCCTCCAGATACAAGAAACACACAGTAGAACACAGAGAGACGGTCCTGGGCATTCCCGAGGCGGGGGGGTATCAGGAGAGGCTCCTGTGGAAGTTCGAAATGGGGACTGTCCTGGCTGGGTTAGGCCTATGTTCTTGGCTTCCCTTTGGCTCTTCCCAGCCTTTGGTAAAGTCTTGGGTCATGTTATCTTCTCCACAGCTGGGCCCACGGAACAGGAAGGCACAATGACCATCTTGGGCCAGAACATTGGAGAAATGGAGCCTCCTTCCTAGCCATGTGAGGACTTGCTCACTGCCCCCGTTCAGAGCCTTCTCTGTCTAGCACAAACTTTGGACATTTGAATGTTTACTTATTTAAAAAGCAGACATTGCCTGGGGCTGGAGAGATGGGCTGCTCTTGCAAAAGGTCCCAGGTCTGATTCCCAACACTCAGATGACAGCTAATAACAATCCATAACTCCAGTTCCAGGGGCTCCAATGCCCTCTCCTGGCCTCTGTGGGCATTGTACACACATGGTGCACTTATACACAAACACTCAAACACATAAAGTAAAAACACATTTGAAAAAATGAAGCATTTTCTTACAGTCATTGCAACATCTGTTGGGGGCTCCAAGGAGGAAGAAAGACTGAGGTAAATGCAGGACTGAAAAAGTTCCGGAGAAAATTCTAGAAACACCTCAGTAGGGTAAGAGAGAAGGACTGGCTGCCTGACCAGGGTCTTAAGTCACAGCACACTATTGAGGAGCAAGGTTCCCAGAAGGAGAGGCCTCTTAGCAATGTCTGCTGGGACAAGAGGTCACAGAGGCCTCTGGCCTGAATCAGCAGCACTTTCTTTTAGGCACGGTCCTCCTTCCCCCACCGGCTGCCTGGATGCAGATCTCTGGGGAATGCGGCCCAGTGAGGAGGGCTGAGGAATGTGCCTACCTGACCTACTGCCCTTGCCAAATTGTTTTTAATGAGGCTCTCTCTGTTTCCCATTTCTTGCAGCTGAAGCAATTTCCTTCTGGAATCTTCCTGAAGCTTCTCTTCAACCTGAAAGGATGAGGAAAGTATACACTTGCTGCTAAACTCTGGGGACAGCCCTCTAGGAGATCTAATGGCTGTGGGGGGCCCCAGAGCTGTGCAGGGACAGCTGCAGCCCACTAGGTAGGTGTCAAACTAAGGATGGTATGGAGGTGAGGCGCCGTCCCCTGGGGCCAAGAACCAAGCTCTCTCTCTCTTCCCAGGACTCACCATGTTCCTCCCACCCAGGCTCCAGTCTCATGCAGACTCTAGTAAGCCACATAATTTCAGGAAGTTGTTTTGCTGGTCTGTGACCCAGTGTTCTATGAGAGCCAATGGTACTAGAGCTGCCTGTAAGAGTTATTGTGGGGTTGTGTTTGCAATAAGCATGGAACTTCATAAGGGCTCTACAGGCGTGTTAGAGATATAACTTATAAAAGCTGGACAGGCAGATATGCCACGCACTGTTATGCTAACACCTTAAATAACCTGCTCACAGTGGGGCTTGGTAAATATTATTGGGATTATTATCCTAAATATGTCACCAGGGGAAACTGCTCATGAAGGCTCGCCAAGCAACAACCATAAAATAACGAGTCTGCAAAAGAAAGTGCTTAAGTGTGTGTGTGTGTGCGTGTGTGTGTGTGCGCGTGCGTGCGTGTGTGTGCGCGCGCGTGTGCTGAATGCCTATTTATTCCGCTTGGGTTCTAAGCGTTAGCCAGAGGCGAGCCCGAGAGTGCTCATTGCTTCCCTCTGCTGGCCATTGTGGCATCCTGCAGCCTCTCCAATTACTTTCAAACTACTAATTTTAAAAAGTTTTTATTAATTTTACAAAGGTTTCATTATGACTTTTTTTTAACTTTTACAAAAACTTTATTGAGAATTTCATACATGTATATAAGGTGTTTTGATCAAATCCATGCCCACTCTCTCCCCTCCAACATTTCCCCCTCTGAAGAGGTAACCCTAAAATCTTTTAAGGGTTAGATACAAGCTCCAAAATACTCTTTATATTTTTGGCCTTAGGAACAGAGTATGTTGCTAACAGGTCCAAGGACATTTTGACTTTCTTTGGGGTCTTTTTACCCTAACTGCTTAGCCAATTCTTACCACTTATTCTTATCACACCATCCTTTGTAGAAGTTACCCAAATTGCCAATAGGGAACAGGGACACAGACTGCTCTGGCTTCTTCCATGCTGAACAGGGACGCAGAGTGAGGCAATTGGAGTGCCCCTTCAATGGGTCTATCTAAAGGACTCCCAAATTGCATAACCCTTGTCTCTAAGGGAGGAAGACGAAAGTCCTTGAATCGGGACTAGGAAATGTGAAGGAGAAGTAAAGGCAAGCGTAATTAGCATTACAAGTTCTAGACAGGGAACTAGAAAAAAGTCAGAACAGGGCAATTTTCAAATGTTCATGTGAGAGTCCATTGGAGTTTCTTGACAAGGGCTTTTAAAACTACTTTAAAAATATTGTTCTGGTTTGTTCTCTTCATTGCTGTGACAAAATACTCTGACCAATACCAACTTGGGGAGGAAAGGGTTTATTCAGCTCACAACTCCCAGGTTGCAGTTCATCAGGGAGCCCAAGGTAGGAACTCAGGGCAGGAACCTGGAGGCAGGAGCTGGAGCACAGGCCATGGAGGAATGCTGCTTACTGGCTTGCTCACCCGGCCCCTGCTCAGCCTGCTTTCTTATGATACATAGGCCCACCTGCCCCGGGGGAGCACCACCCACAGTGGGCTGGGCCCTCCCACATCACTCATCAAGAAGATGCCCCTCAGACATGGCCATAGGCCAGTCCAATAGAGGCAATTCCCCAACTGAGGCTCCCTCGACCCAGGTGTGTCAAGTTGACACTAAAGCTATCCAGCACAAATATTTTATTTATTATTTTTATTTTATGTGTAGAAGTGTATTGTCTGCATGTATGTGAGTGCACCCATGTCGAGCAATGCCATGGAGGTCAGAAGAGGGCGTAGCATTCCCCTGGAACTGGAGTTAAGGACGGTTCGTGGCCGCCATGTGGGTGCTGGGAATTGAACCCAAGTCCTCTGTAAGAGCAGTCGGTGCTCTTAACAGCTGAGCCATCTCTTAACCCTGGTTTCCTTCTTTTTAAAGCATGGATATGGATCAGTAAGATGGCTCAGTGGGTAAAGGTACTCACTACTAAATCTGACCTCTTCAGTTTGAATCCTGGGACTCAGAAGTGGAAGGAAAGACTTGACTCCAGTAAGTGGTCTTCTGACCCCCCCATACATGCACTATAGCAAACACACACACGAATAAATGTAATAAAAAAACCTTGAGTTCTATTGGTGTATAAATCACATTTTCTTTACTCATCAATGGATACTGAGAGTGACTCCATATCTTGGCCACTGTGAATAATACTGCAAAAAAACAGAGGCCTCTTTAAGCCACTGATTCTATTGTCTTTGGCTGTATGCTCAGCACTGGGATTACTGGTGCATATGGTAGTGCCATTTTTCATTTGTTAAGGATACTCCCTCCTGTTTTCCATAGCAGCTTTACTGATTTTACTTCCCCACCATCTATGTATACAGGTTGCTTCCCTTTTTCCCTTTTTTTTTTTTTTTTGCTAACCTTTTTTTAATTTTTTTTTTAATA